TTTTAATGTCATTGAATTTTTCAGGTCGACTCAGCCAATGTAACAACTTTTTCCTTTGTTGAAATGTCAACTGTTCCCACTACGTTCATTTTGAACAAGGCAGATGGTGCTATCGGCCTAGGAACAAAGTACGGCGATTCCGAACCTTTTTTCTACGCTTTGTACAGACAGAAAAAAGTGCGAGATCCCATTTTCTCCATTTATTTGAACAGGTAAGAGGTCACCAAGAAGTTTCAATGAACCTACGATTAGTGGTCTTACATTTTTGTCACATAATTATGCGGAGTCATCAACAGAAGCCAATTAAATTTTGTAGTTTCGATCCGATTACCTCGGTTCAAAAGGATCACCTACAACGTCTCCACAGAGACATTTTGCATTTTTGAGTGCTTCATCCGCGAATCCCCTTTCTATTGAATCACATCATATTCAAGCACTAAACACTAAACCGTTTACTTATTTCATGACTTCTGATGATTTCGTACCAAGGTGCTGTTTTGTGTTTATCCCTTTTCACATATACAAAGGTCTGCGCTTTGTTTTTTATTGATGTACATTAAATTCCTCACAAAACCTGTCGCTATTTTTACTCTTTCTGAATACATTAAACTCATCACAAAACCGTTCCCTCTTTTTAATCTTTCTGAATTTGAATTTGTAGCACTTTATATAATCAAAGTGATCTGTACAAAAGTGGTACATTCAGAGTCGTTCGTATAAAGCTGAAAATGATTAGTACTTACAAGTTTCAAATGTACTATAATAAATCAAAGGTCAAAGGTCTTGTCAACGGTAAGTGTTATAGTAAAAACATGTCGTAGATAATACAATTGTCTATAAAATTCGTTCCAAAACTTTTTTCGGAGATTCTTACGTGGCGTATGTAAAAATGTAACATTATAAATTGTGTCAAATTTCTCTTTTCGTATATGAGTGAACCGATGAATCTATTATATGAGAGAAAGAATTGAAAGTTGGTTGACATTGCATAACCAATACCTTAATTGATGAATCATTTTCATCATCGGCTTGGCTAAAGCGATATCTTACAGGTAAATCATCAAGTAATGCTTGAATATTGGTAGTCCATTTTAGTAAATCAATAATGACCTTTTTTAAAATATTTATTAATTGATCACGCAGTATTTTAGCTTCTTATGAATTAGAAAAACTTATGCATACGTCATCAATATAAATATCTAGAACTCTAGTAACTAACGGAAAATTATTTCCTCCATCTTCAGCCAATAGTAAAATTAATCTGTTGGCAATAAATGGCAAATAAGTCAAACCAAACTCGTATCATAACGTAGTCAAATAAAGTATATATTTATCTATCAACCAATCCTTTACACGCCTGAAAAATGCACACCACCTTGTTGGCAAACAACTGGATTATCGAATTCATCCAGCTACACAAAAACACAGACTTTAACGAACTACATATTTTACGATTTCCCATGATGTATATTTATATAGGTTAACAGTGGTTTTTCAAATGTATTTCAGAAACCCTAAAAAAGTTCAAATAAGTATGGTTTGCCAGTTTCGAAAGTCTTGACATTGTACTGCAATATTAATGATAATGTTACGTTTTTCCCCGTGGGTTGACCAATACTTGACTACACTGAATAATCAAACTTAACTTTATTTCACTTTAAATAAAACAAACACTTCAATTTAAACTTCAACTATTATTTGAATGTCTATCGCCTTACTAGACCATGAATTTAGCAGACGATTCTTTGGGTAATTTTAAGACGAAATGTTCATATAAACATGAATCCGCAAATCCGTCGTTCTCAAGACACAGGGTGTTGAAATAAAAATTAAAAAAAGTTAATCGTAAATATCTTAAATATCCTTTAGCTAATTTTGTTGTAATTTGGCAATGGTATTAATAACATTAAGGAGCTAATTTAGCCCGAACGTGATTCAATTATTTAAGTCCAGTGGTGTTTAGAGCGGGATTTGAACGAATATTTTTGACTTAAAAATGTACGCCACTGACTTTTGTGCAATTTTTATTATTTCTTTGGATTGAGCAATTAGAAATACAACTTTTTTTGTCTCTTGAATTTTTTTCGTGTCTTGCTTAGTTTTTTAGAAAAAAAAGTCGACCTAATTGCATATCCCTGGACCTCACAAGGAATAATATGGGGAATTGAATGTTTCTTTTGAAAATTAATATTTTTACAATTTTTCATTACTAATTATGTAACAATAACAACGAATATTAAATAACATTAACATCTAGACTAACGAATTGCACTAAATAAAGTGTTGGAAATGGCCTCCTACGGCTTCAATACAACCGTCTATAGTCTATTTCAAAAGAGTGTAGAGTAATAAATCATGAAGTGTCATAAAATTTGCCTGAATTTCGTTGTCGTCCATGGGCGTAGGCAAATCTTAGGATTATTAAACTTAATAATTAAAGTAAATTAAAAATTACAGACATAGATAATAATAAAAGGCCATTTTTGGGAAGTAATTTGGTCTAAAACTAAGTACCTACATGTATTTAGGTAAGTAAAATTTCTTAAAAAAAGATTAAGATTAATTTTAGTGGTTCTTGTAAACTTATTTAATATGCAATTTGGGTTCATATACTTGAGCATGATTTCTCAAAAAAGGGTTAACACTTAGTTCCGAGGTGCCATGTCATTATAATAATCCCTTTTTGACCCTGCCCACCAATCATGCAATACCTATTAAAC